AATAACGTTTTAAAAACTAATTATATGTTACAAGACCGTTGATCCACGATGTGTCGTTATCGAATATAGAATAAACCACACACACACATACATACATACATACATACATACATACATACATACATACATACATACATACATTTACCAACTGTAAAGTAACTTAAGATCACGGAAACAAGAAAAACAACTTTTCTTCTTACGCTTTTATCATTCTTTGTGTCTATTTTATAGTCCATATAGTATATATTATTATGCTATTACCACCAAACTATTTTAGTGTCGTCTGCCAAATTGTATAGCTCGGGTAGGTAGGTGGGAATATAACGATAAATTATTATATTAGTTATTACTTATTATCATACCGGCTGAAGTGCAGAGTCCACTTTTATCCAAACAATGAAAACCTTTTCAACAAAAAATATAACCTAAATCCATCAGTAAGTAAATTAGGTAACTCATTTCGTTGTTCCATTTATATAATATGTAAATATTGGCTCCCAATCAGACACTTTATTTCAGGCAAATCTCACGATTTAAATAAGCGCAATTTGTGTACTACCTATACTCGTGACTCGTCATATGGTTATAATACCTACTTATTGTTACAAGCTACAATAATTGTAACTCGGTTACCTATATATTATAGTCCCGTCTTTGTAGTTAATTGTATTATGCATACCATTAGTCTACACTTATATACTTCCAAAATAACATCTTCGTGGACAGCCCCCTTTTCGGCCAAAATATACCCTTCTCTTTTCGGCCAAAACTTACCGTTCCCTTTTCGGCCAGTAGTTTTTTTATTAACATTTACTGTGTAAAAAAAAAAAAAAATAAAACAATTGGCAATAAACTGTTATAACATATTACATTATTCGAATAAAAATTAATATAATCTTATAAAATCTATACACTAATAATTATGATAAAAAAATATACATATAAGTACCTAATTGATTTTCCACAATGCAGATAAAATGGAAACGATAAGGTATAACATACTGGCATTACTCTATGAAATACTGCCATACCATACTCTATTGCCTATACAGCCTATAGGACACTTACTGCACTGATTAGATCGCGTTTTACATTATATTATATCAAAAAGCCAACAAGGAATAATCTTGGTTTATCTTTATTTCCAAAAAACCAACTATGAACGAAATTATACTTACATTAAAGACTGAAGACTATAAAAATAATAAAATTGCAAATTGTTTTATTTTATTATTTTTTTCACCCAGTTGTTGGTAATAATGTTAATAGTGTTAATACAAATTTACTGGCCGAAAAGGGAAGCGTACATTTTGGCCGAAAACGGTGACGCCCATCTTCATCACTTACTGTAACCACGTGTCATTTCAGTGATCAGGAAACCGTCCAGAAAGACTTCACTGTTCAAGTTTATGACCGTACTGAAACCTGAAGTTTGGCTTAGTATCGTAGCTGCTCTGGCTATGACTGCGGTCATGATCTGGATTCTAGACAAATATTCACCTTACAGTGCACAGAACAACAGAACCAAATACGAACAATTCAGGTATATTTACCATGTCCATGTGTGATAAGTATAGATACCTATACGGTTATACATATAGATATTATACTATATTATTATATGTATCAGGTACCTATAGGTGTATAACTAATACGACGTACACAGTGATTATCTTAACAGAAAACACTCATCACAAAATATATCGGTTCATTTGTACCATATCCCCAAAAAAAGTTATCTTACTAAATTTAATTGTACCTACTTTTTTTTTTTTTGAATGATTAAAAATATCAACAACGATAGGTGGTTCACCACAGATAGTTGTCAAAAAATAAAGCATTCCCCAGTCCCCTGCATTAAATTAGGATATAAGTACATATAAAAATAAAAACACAGAATATATGAATATAATATTATATATATATTTCATATATTGTGTGATAAAAAGTCAGAATAATATAATACCTAAATGTTACATTATAGCCGCATAGGTAATGATGATAGCGTACACATTACATGTCACACTTGAGTCCTTATTCTGTATACGCTGTGCGCAGGCATTTCACACTTGTCGAGAGCTTTTGGTTCGCCTTGACGTCTTTTACGCCCCAAGGAGGAGGAGAAACGCCAAAAGCGATCAGCGGGCGAGTCTTGGTGGCCGCCTATTGGGTTTTCGTCGTCCTCATGTTGGCTACGTTCACTGCGAATTTGGCAGCATTTCTGACGGTGGAAAGGATGCAAGTGAGCTATATATGTTCCTAGATTGTATACCCATGCGTGTATATATACGTACATTGTAATAAATTGCACCACGTTATATTAATATTATATTATTTAACAATTTGTCCGTATTGTACTACCTACTACATAATGTATAGACACCAGTGCAGTCCTTACAACAATTAGCTCGACAGTCGAGGATCAATTATTCGGTGATTGACGGTAGCGACGCCCATCATTTCTTTCGTAACATGAAAATGGCAGAAGACATTTTATATAAGCAAGTACCGATATCCTTTAGTCTTTACTGATTTCTTATAGGTACCTAGGTACCTATACCTAGTGAAAAAAAATTTAAAACCAAAAAACAATAGATGATGAAAATCACTGAATATTTAGTGTTTTTGTATTGTAATAACTCTAAAAAAAGTTCTTAGAGACTGGTATTCTTTACAAATAAAAATCCCCGACTCTAGGAAAAAAATCCCCAGACTACAATATTACTCACAAACACATACAAATTAATGAACAAATATTTTTTTACGTTAGGTACCTATCTATCTATCTTCTATCTATATATATATAAGAATCTAACTTGATTTTGGAGACAAAGGAAACCGGTTTTGAACCCTCATTATAATAATAATTAACTAATTACCAATTATTTTCATATATTCACCGATAACGATGTCTGTTTCTTTTTTTTCTTTTTTTCTTTTTTTTATAATCGTTGTATTATTTGTATAGCCAAAATATAGTCATGTTTTTAAAAAATAATTTCTTCCGGGGGAAGATCGGGCAGCTAGTTTATTATAATATTGCAGAATCCGAATAGGCATTATGCTTATAAAATAATTATCATTTATCACCAATGAGATTATGAGAAGGCGCCAATTTTTTTTTTTCAATAAGAAAATTTAATATGTTTACGGTTTAGCGTATGGAAAGAGATAGCATTAAATCAAACAAACAATCGAAAAGATTTTCGAGTTTGGGATTATCCAATAAAAGAAGAATATGGACAAATATTAGCGGCCATAGAAAAAACTGGGACCGTTCCGAACAGATCCGTCGGATATCAAATGGTGACCGTTAAATACTTCATATAATTAATAATTTAGTGTAACATTAATACATTATACATTTATGTTTCATACATCTACCATGTTTAATGATAGGTATTAGACAATGAGCAAGGTGAATTCGCTCTAATTCACGATTCGTCGGACATTGAGTATGAGGTTTATAATAATTGTAACTTGACCGAAGTAGGTGAAATATTTGCCGAAAGGCCATATTCGATAGCTGTCCAGCAAGGAAGTCTCATACAAGAGGAAATTAGTAGAAAGTAATTTCAATGAAACTTATTTATAATAACAAAATAATAGTACACAAGACCTAACCACCAACTATTTTTTTTAGGATATTAGATTTACAAAAAGATAGATTTTTTGAACTATTGAACGCCAAGTATTGGAATGCTTCCAAAGTGAGCATGTGCCCGAATGCCGACGATAGTGAAGGCATCACATTAGAGAGTTTAGGTAAAGTGGATAAAAAGTTTTTCAATGTACTTATTGTATAAGTTTCAACTCTAAACAAAGATACATGCGTAATTTTCAATGGTTTGAGTTATGACTGTGATCACTGATTTATTTAATAATAGACTATTATACGTCTACTACATTTGTACTAAGACGACGCTACACCCGCGTGTTTCTCCGTCTCACAAATGCAAAACAAAGCAAAAACTATTTTTCAAGGGTAAGAATCGCTCAGTCCAAGCTAAGCAACAAATTTTTCAGACTATAAAGAGAGAGACATTTACTGTGCAAGTCAATGTTCTCTTCTTTATAGTGTGAAAAATTGGTTGCTTAGCTTGGACTTCAGCGTACACCTTAGCGACTAGTTTTTGTCACCTCCACCAAGTCAAACAATTGCCGTGTAGTAAAGCAAAACCCTTACACACAAATCGGCCATCGAGGTTTTTTCTTAACATCAACGGAGTAAAGTCTGAGTGGTCCTAATGACAAATGAGTAATAATAATTAAGTGATTCCAGGCTTTCAATTTAATTACATTCTTCATTTGATAATATACTATTATCTTACATACATGATAATATTGTAATATTGAAACTAAAAACTAACCCTGTAAAATTAAAGTTGTTCAATCATAAATCGTAACTAACAAGACACATAATTATGATGGAAGCTAAATAAAAATATAATGTTATACTCAATATTTAAGTACATAAAAAAATATTCCAACAAACTACATGCTTACCTACATCAATGGCTCAATCTTAACAACTATATTATCATGTTTCTAGGAGGCGTTTTCATAGCTACATTAGTTGGTTTGTTGATAGCGTTGATTACACTTGCTTTTGAGGTTGTCTATTTTAAACACAAACGCGCCAAGGTAGCAGAAGTTAGTGTTGTTAATAACACCATTCATAAGGATAAACTGATGTATGGCCACGAGTTATTCATGACGCTAGGAAGAAATTCAAATTCAGATGATCAAACACGTTGGGTGAACAAGATCAAGCTAGATTCAACTACAGGCCGACTAAACAATGCATTATTCTTTCGTAGAAACAAGTTTCAAAATTAGAACTTCAGTTGTTTGATATAATGTTTTATAATATTTATAAATATAGTATGGATATAAATTGATTAACTAATACATTTCATAAATAAATTATTTTACATCATATATATATATATATTATACAAATGCACTAATTCAACATAACACCAAGAGAAAACGGCGGAATTTCAAATATAATCATAATAAAATCAAAAAATAATATAATAAATATAATAACAACAGATATTTCTATGACTGTGTATACATCATTAAAAATTATAAATGTAACATAACAATCGTGCAGTAATAAACAAAACGATAAGTAATCATATAGTAATTCAAGTAATTGTATTGGTGTTAATCCCACATTGACCCCTACCAATTACCTAAAAATAAAAACAAAATATAAAATAATTAAAGATTCAAATTTAATTTTTAACAACATAATATGTTTTTACTACTATTTTAGTATTGGATTTTTAAGTATTATAGCCAATATTTTGTTACAGAACTCATCCAACATAAGTGCTTATTTTTTTTATTAATACCATTTAGTTTATTAAATTATTTCTTAATTTCATAGGGGAATCGATTATAAAACAAATTGAAAAAAAAAGTGTTAAAAAATAACTGACATTCATTGTTTAAAATTTGTTAATTATAAGTACTTCAGTAGTTGCACTTCGAAATAACTATTGAGGTTTTCTAAAATTTGTTAAATTCAACAATGAATAGTACACATTTAATTTCTAAATAATACCTATTATTTCAGTATTTCCTAAAATAAAGTACTCAAAAAGTTTTTAATTAAATTTGACATTTCTTTCATCAAAGTATTAAATTGAATACAAAAAAAATCAATAAAATATAATGAATCATTATTTATAAAATAATTTAGAACAAATTTGTTTTACATCCTCAAAGCTATAACACATTGGGATGACCATAACCTAAACAAATTAATATGTATTGGAATTACTGAATTTTCTCATATGTAGTGCAAAATAAGGTTTTGTTGTAACAGTCAAATGTATTCATGATGATAACATTTTTATATAAACCGTAAATCATTCACATTTAATGAATATAATTCACATGGTAGGCAACAAAATTATATACATCGCACAGTAAAAATAATATACATAAAGAATAGTTTTAAAAATATTAAATGCCATGTTTCATAAAAAAAGATGAACCAATTAGTTTAATTAGATTCATTGGGATTTGGTTATCACAAGCATACTATAAATTATGAAACAAAATAATTTTAACTAGAATTGTTAACAGATAATTAATTTACAGTAATATCTTTAGAGCAATTATACACTCAAATTCCAAATAATTGTAGGAAAATAATTGATCATTGGAAAAATATTATTGTATAACATTATAATAGAATAAAATTATAATTATTTATTTAAAAAAATATATTATTTTTAAATGAATATATTAAGAACTAATATTAATAAGTAAAAGAATAATAATCAAACATTATTTTTATTTTTTTTAATTTAATAGATTATAACATAAAAATCAATAACTTTCTTTAATTATTTTAATGAAAACCACACTAAGGAGTACAATAGTAGGTACTGAAAATAATACTTTTACCATTTTTGTGTGTGCTAACTGAGCAAATTGCGAATTTCCTTATGCATGTGACACAAAAATTCTACATAGGATGGACTATTGTCAATGCCATGATCTTCGACTAAGAAATGTCTCATAACGGTTTCAATTTTATCTTTTTGCCGTATAATTGAAAGCTATAAATAAAATATAGCATTAAACACACATGATATAAATTAGATTAATATTTAGCAACATAAGTATACATACTCTCATTGTGTGGCTTCGTTCTTTTTGAATTTTAGACAGCACCTGACGAATAGCTTTGTTGAGTGGATTATCCAACACAGGAATAGCGGAATGTTCAGTATTAACATATGCTATGTTCTGAACACCAAACACATCAGATAAAAATGCTTGACTTAGACCCATACCAAGCCACAAAAACATATATACTCCATTTTCTAGAGACAAAAATATTGTTAAAAAATATAAATAATATATTTAATGTTGCAAAAAAAAAGAAATACTTTATTTACCCAAAATATAAGCTCCATTTTCAGCAAACTTTTCAATAGAACATCTCAATTGATCTGGTATTGAAACATCATCCGAGAGTTTTTCATCATCAAGTGTATGAATGGGAATCAGACGTGGATAGAAATAACCCAATGTTGTAGGTATATCCGCAGTGATAACCAGATGCATGTTAAACCAACGATCATCAACTGTCAGATCAGGACCTACATAAAAAACAAGGATTATGAATTCATTAACTCTATCATAGGTAAATAAAATAAATAGCATACCACCAGACATTGCATCACATTTGATTAAACAATTAACATATAGAGGCATAAGTTTCATGCATTCAGGCAATATAAGTTGACCAGCTGAAGATGGCGAAGCACAATGCTTTCTATATGTAGCTAATATTTGAGCAGTCTTATTTGTAATTGCTTCCTTTACTTGTCGTCCAGAACTTTCCAATATTTTATACATAACTAAATTAAATTAAAATACAACTTAAAAATTCAATCTTTACTATAAGAACTAATACAATATACCTTGTTTTCCAAAGAAATTCATTATTGTATCTAAGTCACAACTACGATATAATTCACCCATTTGTCCACTGGAGCGTAATGATAGATTTAATATACGCACACGTCTCTGTCCACTACAAGACGTGTATAACATAGCTGTTTGTACTAATACTCCATCTTGTTCATCAAGCTTATCATCATGTTTTACTTCAATTGCAATAGCCTGGAAATATATGATATTATACAATTATAATAATAAACTATAATAATGTGTAAACTGGCAAAACCCACAATATAACATACGACAAAAATTTCACTGATTTAAATTGACTAAAAATACAGAGGAATGGTGTAGTGTATTATTATTTGAATTACATATTATAAATTTAAAAGTATGATATAATTAAAATCAATTTCTGTGGTTATGATAATTAATTAAAAATTAAATGGTTTTAAATACTTTGAAGATGTCTTATAGAGGTCAGTGGTCTGTAACACAAGGTCCAAGTATTGTTCATCTTGAATATGGGTGAAAAGGTATTAACAGAAGGTAAACATGAAATTTTATCGATATATATATATATTGTATATACTAATATTATGTGGGGTAGGTTACCTAGAATTATTTGAACGGCACAGATTTTTTATTTGATTCATGCTACTGATAGGGATTTCACTTAGCTTATATGGCAATTAAATTTATAGTAGCTGACTCCGGAGAAGGATATTTTTTTAAATAATATGTCAAATATAAAAGGATAATACTTCAAAGTAAAATACTGTACATTTTTTTTTAAATTAGTTATAGTATAGAGAACATTGTAGATACACATTTTGAGATTAGCTACCTAAACATTAATGACTCATGAAAAAATATTAAATATTAAAAAAAATTGAGTTTTTGAACTTACTTTATCACAATCAATAGCAGCTAACTCCACATCGGTAGAATTTGACATAAAAAAATGCCCATAGAAATCAGTGGGACGAGTACCAGTAGATGTTCGTACTCGCATTACAGCATCAAAAACAGTTGGTCGACTAATGTCATGTTTTAAATCAGATAAGAATCGTTGACCATCGACATCAGCCTAAATGTTAAAAATGTTAATTACATTATGAAAAAATGACAATATAAACATACAATAACATAACATTAAATCTAAATAACTTACTTGAAAATATGTGTACTTGAAAATTTCACCACCACTTATTTTAGAAATTTGACCAATTGTAGGTAAATCTATATAAGAGTTATTAGTGATGAATAGATCAACACTACATCCAACTTGAACGCACTCCTCTCCTAATTCTTTATACACATTTGTTTGCGGGTCTGTTTAAAGATATATTTATGTATATTTTATCAGTAAAATTTAAAAATTATTCAAGATTTATCTTACTCAAAATAGTTTTTTCTTTATCGGTGGCAAGTAATTTTCGATCTTCACGATTCTTAAGTTTACCAGGAGCTTCTGCTATTGGCAAGGATGAATGGAACACAAATAATTTACCACAACAATCAGCATTCTAAAGAAACAATGTTTTGAAAATAAATAATTAAAAATTGCTAAGATCCCTATTAGAAAAAGAACGTAAAATATTAACATTATTATTCAATTATTTTATGAATAGATCTTGCAATTTTGCAAAACAAAATATACCTTCAATGCTTCCATTCCTGCTTTTATTGCTGGTAGAAGAATAGTTTCAGTAATTCTTGTTTCACTGAACTGAGTGGGAATTTGTTCCATGAGTACATCAATAACTTGAGAGGATTGTTCTGGATCACATAAGAAGCCATCTAATAATGGCATAAACACTTCTGAAGTGTCACCAACAATCATCATTTGAGGAACAGCTAATGTTTCCTGTAATATATTTAATTATTTTAATTACTTATGTAGTTGTGGATGTATTATTCATTATTTCTACCTATTAGAATTTATTATATAAACAACATTCCCCAACATTAAAATGTATACATTATTTTAGATATTAGATTTATATTTAAACACAATCATCAATATGAATGGTTTGCTGTAATAGGTATATGCGTATTCACACTTTTTTTTTTTACTCATATTTTGTTTGACTGATTTTGACATTATTACTAATTAATTTACAATAATAAAACAACATAATTTTATGATTTATATTTTGACTGTTTTTAAATTAATTATCAGTCTAGTAGATTATGCAGTCCAGTAGGTTGCATGCTAAACAAATAATTAAATTCTCAAACAAAATTATTATTATATATATCTACTACAAATTTACTTACTAGAAATTTAGTACATTTCTAGAAGATATGTATAATTATAAGCTAGAAAGTAGATAGTGGCTAATGGTCCAAATAAACCATGGGTATACTTGTTTAGTGCTGAAACTAATGGAGAGCATGAGGTCGGTTCATGGCTCTGAGAGTAAGACCCCGCAAGGGAGCCCTTCAAAGATTTCGGATAATGAAAACAAGCGAGTGAAAATTTATGAAATCTCGGTCATAATTTGTTCACAAAATGTAAATACTAAAAACACTATCCCAATATGCCATAACAGACTAAAATAGTTGTTATTAGTCAATTACCTATTTTTAATTTTATTGAACGACAAAAATATTGATACAGGGGTAGTTATAAAAGCAACCTTTATATCTAAGGATGTTTTATAACTTATTTATATAAACATTGATTTTACACTAAAATTATTATAAAATCAATAATATAACTATTAGTATCTATTTTTCTATTAGCAGATAGATTGGTATCTCATTCCATCACTGTTATTAACTTAAAAGTCAATGCCGCATACCGTAAAATGGTAAGAATAGATTTGTAATATAAATAACTTAAAACCAGTCATTGATTGTGTATAGAAAATAATAATATTATGTAATGGTAGATTGGTTTCAAGTCTCTACAATTAATATTTTTTGAATTTCAACATAACTAATATCTGAGTCCACAATATTGTAAATGTAGCATTGTACTTGCATATCTTAACTACATTGACATTAAGAGGACACCACACCCGCACATGTGATGTCTCCATCTAACAAACCCGTAACATACCAAATTCAAATGTTTCATTCCGTTAGTTTAAAAATTAGAGGGAATATACCTTTAATGAAACTTAATGGTAAAAACATAATCTTACGTTCTCTTATGTTGGTTTTTTGCAATAGTTCAATTTATAAGTAAGTTATGAGCATTTGTATTTTACATTTTATTATATACACATAACTTTCAAAAGAAATAGTCTACCATAAAAACCAACATAAGAACAAATATAATGTTCTCACCATCAAGTTTCATAATAGGTCGAGTCACCCTAATTTTTGAACTAATGGAGCTAAACGTGATCTCAGCGTTTATTTGTTATGTTACGCACTTCTAAGACAAACACGAGACCACACATGCGGGTGTGGCGTCCTGTTTTAATTATGAACACAGATACATGTGTATTGGAGACCACTAATCAAAATCAAATTTCTTCAGCTTGAGTCTACAGGTTAAAAATTAAATACATTTTCCTTAAGACTGGAGAGGATATCAGAGCACTCTTTGTTTTCCCACCCTGGCCCATACGAAACTTAGGCAATTTGTGTTCAGCAGGACCAAAATTGTGTCCTTGTGTAAGAAGCTTTAGTTTTAGAGTGAAATATCAAACTTAAAGTTAAGAATATTGTTTGTGTTCTTATGTTGGCTTTTTCACAATATTTACATTTTAAAACAAGATATGAATATTTTTAAATTGTACCATTTTATACTCATAACTCACATAACAGTTGAAATATCATAAAAAAGCTAAGGTAAGAACAAACTTTTGATGAACCACCTATTTAAGATACAACATAAGTCCAAAAAAGGTAATTCTGAGAAAACAAGAAAAAACCGTTTTTAAACTACCAGTGATCCATTTTATTTCTTTTTCATACTGATTATTAAGTGGTAAAATTAAATATTTATTTTTGCAAATATTCACACATGATATGTCTATCATTTGATAACCCGTTCCACTCAATATCTCAATTTGTGATATTTTGTGACTTATGTCGTTTCTTAAATAGGTGGTTCAAATATGGTGATTTATTTTTCTTACCTTTAAATTATAAAAATGAACAGTTGTATCATAAGTAATAAAACCAACACGTATTTTACTTTTTTCATTTCCCAACTCAGTTGGTAATTGAGTTAATAACTCTTTCATGAAAGCACATATGAGTCGAACAAGTCCAGATTTGATATTATTATAAGAAACATCTATTACAAATATATACGCAGGAGGTTTTGGTTGCATTTCTTTCTGGAAAATACAAATAAAAACATTATATTAAATTTAACCAGGACTACTGATAAATAATAGAACGTATTTATTATTTTAAAAAAGCAGATACTATAGCTGAAATAGTAATACTATAGTGTCATTATTAGATTATGAAAAGAATAATAATAGAATTTAAGTGACAGTCTAACCATAATGATAATAGTAAATAATGAACTATTAGAAATAAAAAATTAGGTTCAACAAATTAATTTTGGACACAAAATCATTGAAGCAAGTAGTTAGAGAAAGTAATTTCAGTGACACATTTAAGAGTGTCATATCCAGGGTTGTGATTTTATAGCATTTGCATATTTCTTATGAGATGCTTAAAAAATAGCAGAGTAAGCTAAAAATGTGTTCATGATACAGAGAACTCAAATTAAAATTTTTATTTTGTTTTTTTTTGCATATTTTACGATTTTTTAGTTTTTATTGCTTTTTTTGGGTTTTTTGAGACTTTTTGAATTTTTACCTGTTTTTGAATCAAAATCTGTCAAAATGTTATGAAATTATATTTTAGTTAAAGTGTTTTCAGATTTTTGTCAATTGAATTATCAAATAAATTGTAAATGTACCTATAGATATTTAGGTAAATAGGCCGATTACGATGATGCGACGCCGTACAGCGTTAATATATAGGTAAAATATAATACTACGATAATTTCGTATTAGGTATTTGGTTTTAATTTTTGTTAACTGCTAATTTTGTTGGGTTTTTTTTTTGTCGATTTCTACTGCGATTATTAATCGCCGATTATCAACGTTGAATGATAGTCTCAATTTATTTTATAAAGTTGTCTCGTGTGCCTGTACTCGTGTGTTACGTTGTATTTTTGCCGTTTATATAATTTTGTAAGTGATTAAAATAAATTTCCTTTTTTTTCATATTTTGTTGTTTTTATTACATATTTTTAACGCATATTTAGCGATAGTTAAGGTCATATTATAGTGCATATTTATGCAATTTTAAGTGATATAAAATCCCAACCCTGGTCATATCTATTATATTTCACCTGACCATAAACAAACTTATTTGGTGGATCAGAAGCTGTGGTTCTATTTTATCAAGAGCTTTTATTACATAAATAAAATAGACCATATTAAAAAAATTTTAATTAACAGTATGAGCTAAATTTATGTTTGGGAGGATTTATCATTGCCAATGTAAAATCTATTGTTTCTTTAAGAAATCTAAGGTGACCATTGTGAATAAATATAGAATAAACTGATGCTAGACCACTGATGCAGAAAAAAGTCAATAGCAATTAAACAAATGGCTTTTTGGTTAAACTCAGTAACAGTAACACATTAAATTATCATTAACTTTATAAAAAAATTATTCAATAAGCAATGACACATTATTGTCGTAGGCGTTGAATATGTTAAAAAAAATAATTAAAATTAAAATTAGATCTAAAAAAATTAATATATACAAATATTTAATCTGCATTAAAGTACAAATGTTTATTGTTATACATACCCTACAATATTCTTTTGGAACAATAAATTCATATGATCCAAAACATAATTCAGGCCTTTCAGAGCGGTCGAGCCGCTGACCAGTATGATCCAAATGTTGGAAATATTCAACTGGTACTAAAAAACAAAATTTATTTTATTAAAAAAGAATTTTTAATTAATGAAAGTTAAAAAATTACCTTCTGTTGTAGCTTTACATAAAAGGCATGTAAAGTGTTTTCCGCCATCAATAAACTGCATAAATGGACTCATGTAAGCTTTACATCTCTTACATCTAACTGGTCCAATTTCACCAGTATTTATAATAGGTAGAGGATACTCATCTGGTTTTATTTTTGCTAATGGACTGATAACTAATCCAAATGGTACAGATGTCTACAAATATTTTAAAAGTAGTTATTTATATCAATTATTTAAAACTAAAATAAAATTGTACTCACCTGTTTCATAATGTCCGTTGTAGTAGGTACACAATACATAGTTGATCTTATTAATCTAGGTGATGCATTACCAGAATCTTGCACAGTGAAATCTGTAGTAACTAAAGGGGGTACTAAACCTCTTTGATTAGTTAAAAATAATCCACTTTTACTTTGTTGGTCATCTTGTATAACTTGTACCTGAATATAATTAAATATTTAATATAATAATTTCTGATTAACTAACAAATCCAATGTGGTTAAATACTTACTGGACTTGGCATTTGGTCAGGATCTAATCTCCTACTTGGAGCTGGCTGACCCATATAAGCTGGTGTACCTTGATTAAAACCAGGTTGTTGAGAAGGATACCCAGGTTGTTGAGGTGGATAACCAGGTTGTTGAGGATGAAAACCATTATGTTGCTGTGAATATCCAGGTTGTTGAGGTTGTTGAGGTTGTTGAGATATTAAGCCCGGCTGTTGAGATGGGTAACCAGCTTGTCTTGATGGTAAATTACCTGTCTGCGGAGAAAAACCCATTTGTTGAGATGGTAAACTTCCTGGCTGAGGAGGAAAACCTTGCTGTTGTTGAGGTGGAAATCCTGATTGCTGAGATATTAAATTGGGTTGTGGTGGAAAACCTGGCTGCTGCAGTGTTGAATTAGGTTGTGGGGGAAATCCTGGCTGCTGCAGTGTTGAATTAGGTTGTGGAGGAAATCCTGGCTGCTGAAATGTTGAATTAGGTTGTGGTGGTAAACCTGGCTGCTTCAGTATTGAATTAGGTGGAGGAGGAAATCCTGGCTGCTGCAGTATTGAATTAGGTTGTAGTGGAAAGCCTGGCTGCTGTGATATCGAATTTGGTTGCGGCGGAAACCCTGGTTGCTGCAGTGTTGAATTAGGTTGTAATGGAAAGCCTGGCTGCTGCAGAGATGAACTTGATTGTGGAGGAAATCCTGGCTGTTGCAGTGTTGAACTTGGTCGTGGTGGAAAACCTGGTTGTTGAGGTGTTGAATTTGGTTGTGGTGGAAATCCTGGTTGCTGGGGTATTGAATTCAATTGTGGTGGAAACCCTGGCTGCTGCAAGTTTGAATTTGGTTTAGGTGGAAATCCTGGTTGCTGAGATGATGAATTGGGTTGTGGTGGAAACCCTGGCTGCTGAGATGATGAATTAGGTTGTGGTGGAAAGCCTGGCTGCTGTGGTGTCAAATTAGGTTGTGGTGGAAATCCTGGTTGCTGTGGTGTCGAATTAGGTTGTGGTGGAACCCCTGGTTGCTGTGGTGTCGAATTAGATTGTGGTGGGAAACCTGCCTGCTGCTGAGTTGAATTGGATTGAGGTGGAAATCCTGGCTGCTGTGATGATGAATTGGGTTGTGGTGGAAATCCTGGTTGCTGTGGTGTCGAATTAGGTTGTGGAGGAAATCCTGGTTGCTGTGGTGTTGAATTAGATTGTGGTGGGAAACCTGCCTGCTGCTGAGTTGAATTGGCTTGTGGTGGAAAACCTGGTTGCTGTGGGGTCAAATTAGGTTGTGGTGGGAAACCTGACTGCTGCTGAGTTGAGTTGGATTGAGGTGGAAATCCTGGTTGCTGAGATGATGAATTAGGTTGTGGGGGAAAGCCCGGCTGTTGTGGTTTTAAATTTGTATGTGGTGGAAAACCTGTTTGCTGAAGTTTTGAATTGGGTTGAGGTGGAAATCCTGGTTGCTGCGATGATGAATTGGGTTGTGGTGGAAATCCTGGTTGCTGCGATGATGAATTGGGTTGTGGTGGAAAGCCTGGCTGCTGCTGTGTCGAATTGGCTTGTGGTGGAAAACCTGACTGCTGCAGTGTTGAATTAGATTGAGGTGGAAAGCCTGGTTGCTGAGGTTTTGAATTGGCTTGTGGTGGAAAACCCGGCTGTTGCGGTGTGGAATTAGATTGTTTTGAAAAATCTGGTTGAATTATTGAATTAGACTGTGGCTGAAAATCTGGCTGTTGATTTGACACTTTTGATTGTTGTAGTAGATAATTTGATGGCTGAGATTGAAACTCTAATTTTTGAGTAGATAAATCTGATTGGGGTGGAAAATTTTCAGACAAATGTGGTTGTTGAACATTGCCTGAAAATGGTCTTTGAGAACGAGATTGAGGCGGAACAACAGAAAAAGCTGACTGAGTTGGTTGAGATAAAGAACTTAATCCAGAACCAACTTGATTAGTAATCAAACCTGAGTTATTTGAACTAAATTCATTAGATTTTCCAAACATTGCCTCACTTGAATTATTTGGTGTGCCATTATTAAAATCTCTCAACTCTTGATTAATAATTCCATCATGAATATTTGACTGAATACTATTTCCAGGAAAAGGAGATTTTGGTATCATGTTGTTAGAATTGTCTTGAAAATTATCCGAGGAATGTACATTTTGATTAGAAATTCCTCCAAAAGGTACTGATGAAGAAAATTGCTTAGGAGGCCCAGTCAGCTCAACATTAAAATTGGCAGGTGAATATGATTGTGGAGTATTTACTTGTGGTCCACTTGAAAAGTTGTTAATATTACTTGGCTGGAAAATTAAAATAATATCAAATTATTGGTATATTGTGTATCTTTTATAAAAAATAACAAAATTATAAATTACCAAAGTATTGTTTTGAAATGGTGGTTGTGAAGGTCCATTATTAAATCCCAGTTGCGAAAATTGATCATTCAACTGTCCTTCAGCCTGGTTATAAGATGGTACATCTAAAATTTAAATGAATAATATAGGTATAAGTGTATAACAAGTTTTATTTTTGTCAATTAAATAATAAAAAAGAAATCCATGTACTCATTTGAATATTTGAATATAATTATTATTACACATATTTTTGTAATATTAATTTTAAATATTTATAAATGTCCAAAACATGTTCACATTTATATACCTACTACACAATATTTTAAATAATTAAGCTTTAAATTTAGAAAACAAATCTTTGATTAAAAAATATTGCAATGATAGTGATAACACTAGAAATGGGTGGAATTTATCTAATAAAATTTTAATTATTATATTTAATCAATATTTAAAGCATCAATTCCACTGTAGGCACCTATATCATTTTTTTAAATTTTATTATGATAGGTACCTGCTTCTGTAAACAAATTATAATCCCTAAGCTTACAATAAGTTGATAATGTATAAATAATATTCTACAACTAAAATAAGTATTTAGCAGATATTTTAGGTAGTAGATCATCTGATCATTATCAAATTAAAATATATCTAAAAAAATGTAATAACAATACATCAATGCTGAAGTTTAAAGGTCGATAATTATAAAAAAAAAAAGGTAAACATTTATATTTAATCATTATATTCGCCATTAAACTTGTTACTAGTTTAAATCCAAAACATATCAGTGAAAACATTCAAAGAGCTTGTTACTTACTGTTTGATGATAAATTGTGTTGACCGTTTTGTTGTGATGTAGGAGGAGCGCCATAATGTTGTGGTGGACGCTCTTGTGCAAACTGAGAATCATTCATTTCTCGTTGAACTAAAATAAATGTACATATACTATAAAAGCAATCAAATTATATAGGTAAGATGATGATCTAAGCTTGAACTTATTGATAAGTAAGCAAATAATACACTCTCTTACCAGTTTGAAAATATCCCAAAATATTGGAAAATGCCAACTGTAAATCGTTGACTTGTTTTTACTCGGGCATTTACAATTAATTTTAACTGTACTTAGATCTTAAGTCTTAACACCATACATCAACTGGTCAGACAGAGCTGAAAACAGTGAAAACGCTATTCGTGCCACGTAAGTGTGTATTGCGCATGCGCCACCAAGGCCACGTTCCGAACTATTTCGTGGCCAATTAGAACAATCAGAAACCGCGGGATTACTATGAATTCAAAATGACCATTCAACATTTCAAACCAGACATTAGGTATAGGTACTTAGGGGTTATGACATTGGTAAAATGACACACCACTGACTGTCATAATTAAGTTATGATATAATTGATATACTTGCCGAGTAAATATTAACTAAGAATCGTTTCAAGACCTAAAACAAAATCTAGATTAAAGTGCACCAGAGTCAGGTATTCACATCTGCAATATTATATAGATTCTGTCTCCGTGAGGATAATATAAATTAAAATTAGCATAATTCCATATAGGGTGTCAAAGTGATTAATTATTATTATAAAGGTAAATACTAATTTTCCCAACAAATATTAAAGGTTATGAGAATATTTTTTTCACATATTTTAAAGAAAAAAATGTCTGTTGTTATTTTTATTGTTATCATTTTTTCTAAGTTTTTTACTTTTTTTGCTTACTATATGTTTTAATTCATATTTCAAAGTAGAATATGTTTTAAAAACTTTAAAATGTACAACCCCTGACCCCTGACCCCTGCCAATTCATTACGTTCATCAATACTTTGATTACTTATAAAATATAAATAAAACCTTTTAAATGATTATACTGTTTAATATAAGTAGTTATTTGAACATTTTAGTAGGTATTTTACCTTAGATATTTAATATAATCTTTGTACCTACGCACACATGCAGTGTTTCAGTTGGTACCTACCATAGAACGATACAGTGGATCATTATGTTCTTTTATTATCATAATAATAATTCATAACAATAATAATACTAAAATTTAAATTTTCTAACATCTAACAAGTGACAATACAACATAGGTACAAATCACGGATTAATATATATTAATCCGTGGTACAAATTTATTTAGACACCTACCTACCTGCCTATCCTGCCTACATAATTTAGTATTTATAATTTATGTCATTTGTATTTGTAAATTATTAGTTATTGCTATTTACTTATTACTGATTAGTTATTACCTACTCGTTTAGTAGGTATATACCAATTACCTACTACTTACTACTAATTTTAATGTTGGGTAGGTAAAAAGGGGGTACTAGTAGGTACCTAGTCAAAAGAATAATAAGCTAAAATCACTAGGTATTTTTCGAAAAACGTAAAATACATTTCATTTCTGTAATAACTATAATATAGGTAATGGTTTTTCATTTTTCACATCATAGGTGACCTATTTGAGATAGACAAATATTTTGAATTTTGATAGTGCAAAATTTAATGTATCAATTAAAATTAATAGGTACTATGTACGATACAATTTATAATATTGTGGCGGACCACGTATATCATACTTTTATAGGTACCTAATACTGCACTATTATTTATATTGAGTAATATCTAATTGAAAAGTCCATTTCTTCACGTTTAGCATACTTATGTGCTAGGTGGATACTGATTGGGTAATCCCGGACGAAAAGTCCGAATTTATTTTTTATCGTCGGGCAAAAAGTCTAAGCGCATTTTTATTGTCAGACCAAAAGTCCGAAAGTACAAAATAGGTATTCTATTAAATTTTCATCTATAATATTTTATATTACATTTTACCTACATGCAGGTATAAATGTATAATGTACCTATATATACATATAATATTATATATTATTATTACTGTAGAAATAGAAATCAGTATCCGAATTTTGGGCCTCATCTTTGACCACAAACTCACCTGGAGACTTCACTTAAGAAAATTAAAAACGGAATGCCAATCAAGAACTAAGACGTTAAAAATACTTGGGAATAATAACTGGGGTGCCGACACAAATAGCCTAATCACAGTCTACAAAGCCCTCATTCCATCTACAATAGACTATGGAAATATAATATACAATTCGGCTAAAAAAAAAGTGCTAAGTACCCTAGAACCCATTCACAATCAAGGCATACGTCTAGCCATAGGAGCCTTTAGGACGAGCCCAGTTGGTATACTCTACTACGCAGAAGCTCCCCTCCATTTCAGACGCCAAAAACATATCGTAAAATATGTAACTATTAAAAATCTGTCTGATCACTTCACCAAGACACCAACTATATTCTTCACAACCCATTACCCCCTAATCTATCACCCTCTAGAAGAACGGTATTTGAAAACTTTAAAACTACTATTTGTTTAATCTTTTTTTGGCCAATTAAACATTTACGTCTAATTAATGGTAATTAATTACTCAAAATTAAGTTTAAATGATTTAATGTCTGCAAGCTTACGGATATAAAAAAAATACTTGAAATTTCATAAAATTTCATAAAATTCTAGTACGATTGTTGAAAAACTCAATAATTTTAATCGAAACTTTAATTCGTTGTCATTTAGTCAATTTTGATTTTAGAGCCATGGTGAAAAGGACCAAATTGACTTAAAAAATTCGGTCTACCTGTAATTGGTATTCAAAACACATGTTGCCATTTAAAAAAAATGCAAATTGTATTGCGCATGCGCGCATGGAAAGATCTAAAAATGTAAAAATCATCAAGAAATGTGTATTTATGTATTTCCTATCTCATCCCGAAAATAGCATATTAATCTGATGTCACTGGACAGAATTATTTAGTGTTACCTTTAAAAATAAACACACTGTATAAACAAATAACTACACACATATTATTTATTATATTTTTCAATTTGAGATACCTAATTATATTTATTAGGTTACCTACTATCCGTGGTTTCAGAAGAGGGGAGTAGGCCAGTAGGGGCAGTAGAGATTCCCATGGCTTTTTTTTTGGTTAAGTATCATATTATCATAATCATTATGTAGTAAATATCAAATATAAATTATAAAATACCTATCACAAATTATTTGTTTTCTTCAAATTTTTTATTTAAAAAATTATAATTTGATGATAAAGCTGCTGCTAGCTGCTAACAGCATCCGTTAAGGCGTTAACAGATATAATAATTAGGTAATATTAAATAACTGGAACCAACTGTCAACTGGTATTAATAAATTAATAAAAAAAATCTATCTTATTTATCATTATTTTTGGTTGTTTGATAGTATTTTCAAACTGGTGATTAGTTTAGTGGTTTGTTTCGAAAATTGTACTTGGCAACACTCTAATGATTGATAATTATCTAAATGTTTAATGTTTCTTTTTAGACTTAAGTTCTCAAAATATTAAAATAATTTGGTGGTTTTTGCTCTAATATCTAGGTATCATATTTATTTTATAGAAACTTGAAACATTTAATTATATAAATAACCCAAAATTATCAAATCAATGGTGACATTAAATTTATAGAAAAATGAATTTTTTAATATTTAAAGTTTTAACTATCCACATATTATAATTCATAAATAATTTTTACATTCCTATATAAAAGAAAACATGTCACAATAACAATACTTTATCTCTAAACAAGGTTAGTGAAACAACAATTAAAAAACGAAATTATTTTGCTCCTAGACAAATTTATACGGATGCCATTGCCAACTGTTAAAGTCATAACGGTTAATATGTTTATAGTTGCATTATTTCAGTTTTTTGTAGAAGGGAGCAAACGTTTTGACCAGACACCAATTATAGGCTGTGACCAGTCCATAGATAACTAAGACAAAAGGTTGGATCGCTCGTAAGCTAATTTTTGCTTACCTTCATTCTTACCTATCTAGTTATCTCGATATAATTCCCACCTTCCATGACTTCATACGTTTCTGAGACAAAAATACTAAAATAGCCTCGAAGCTAACGAATTATGACACCTATCTCAGTAGTTTTCTAGAGGGGTCAAATTCTAGAACAAATTAAAATACAATATGAAAAAAGTGCTGTAATATAGGTAGGTAATTGAAAAATCGAAAAATTTTAGATAAGTAGGTACCTTCACTATTATAGAGGTTTTTTTGAGATCATGGATAGGTGCATATTTAAGAGTGATCGTTTTATTTGTTTTTAGAATTTCTACAGTACATATTATATGAACTGAAAAAACCATAAACATTAATTATTATTGTGATATTAGTTCTTTAGTGCTTACCTAATGGCTAATACATACCTAAACAATATTGTGTTTAATTTTAAACAATTATTATATTTCCTAAAAATTAAAAAAAAAATTACGGTTATGTTATTTCCCAATAGTTGGAATGCTTTTAAAATCAGACAGCGGCCAATACTCATTTTACCCTCTTCAAATGACTTAACTCTATGGCTACAGCTTTAATTTTAATTAAAAATAATTTTGAGAAATTAGACGCACAGGTATCAATAATTGGTAGGTCAGTGGGTCAGCCAGTTATGTAATCCAGCATAAAATAAAGTGTTTGTAATGAGCAATGAACTATACTTATGTATACTCAAATACTTAACAGTAGGCATTAAGTAATGAATTCCTGAAAACTGTAATTTCTGTACATCAAACTTAAATGTATTTTAATGACTTGGATTTTCTTTCCTATAAAATATTTTTTAATCTGAAATACTAATCTAGATTAGATTATTAGATTTTACTGATAAACTATGTTTAGTATATTATTGCATGTTGACTATTGGCATTAATTTGTTTATTTTCTTTCTTATAAATGTCCGTATGCTTCTGATAAAAAGGTTCTAATTTTTAAGTAAATATAATAGTTACCCATCTAATGACTTTAACACACTTCAAACACATTAGGCAATGTTTATCGTGTAACCAATACCCATGGACTATAAAAGCCATTTTTACCTAAGATATTTTTAAATGTAAATTATTTTATCTAATTTAAACTGCAAGTACCCTATGTTCAAATTCAAGTTCCATCTAAATAAAAAGAAAACATATTCCATCATAATAAATTGGTACCAAGGTGAATAGATCACCTTATCTTCTCCACACTTGATATGTTTGTCACAAGGACACCAATTTCAAAATTAAGAAAAATTAATTTGAAAAAATAAAAAATATAACCCCAGTCGTCAAGGATAAAAATTAACAAATAATAAGCAAAAACACTACAAATTTAACTTTATTAATCTTCAAAATACTGATAGAAAATTATAATTGTACATTTCAAAATAATCCTTTACAAATAACAATGAAAAATGAACATTGAAGGGACTAAAATAATTTTCTTAACATTCTAAAACAAAATTGTTTGATTATTTCTTCTTTTTTTTACAACTATTATTATTTTTTTTTTTTATTAAATCACAGAAATGGACAATTTATTGAATTGTAATTATTATCAAGAAAAAAACACATAACTTTGAAACAATATCTGGATTTATAGAAAAAATAAAAACTCCAGGTAGGTAACAATGTTATTTCCTAGCTAGTCAGTGCAACACACAAAGACTATCACAGACAATCTAAAGAAGCACGAAAGCTGCTCATATTATGTAATATAAGCACACAACACCATATTGCACAATTTTTGCACATACATGGAGTGAATGACTGGTGTTAATTTGATAAAATTGTATATTCTGAACGGAATGAAAAATATTACTCTTTTGCCTTTTCCAGTCCACTTATAATGTTAGAGACTTCTAGGAATGTATACAACAGTTTTCAACAAAAATTAAATAATAATTATATGGTCATTATTTATTCATTACATTATTAATATTAACCACTGATATCAATACTTTTTATAAGGACGGACCTCAATTGATAATTCATCGAAAATAAACTGTACTATTTGATTATAAAAACATATAGAATTACACAATTTAAATGCAAATGTTTCACCTATTAACTAAAATTTTAGGGAATAAATCACTCATCTCTTTTAACATAGATTAAGAAGTCAAGTGAATTTTTAAACAGTAAAAAAATTAACTAAAAACAAAATACTTGATTACATTCGTAAAATAATTATACATAATAAATCAAGTAACATTATATTGCAATATTTCAATGGCAAATCTGACCAAAATATCTGGTAGATTTACGTGGGGAAGAAATAGTCAAGCACACCCCCTTAAACACAAGAGATCTGATCCTGACAAAAAATTGTTTTAGAATTAACAAAGACTAGATAATAATGATTAAATATTAAGTTAACATAAATATTTTTTTTATAATAATAATAATAATAATTCATTTTGTTCTATGCTACAACATTATTGTTTTAACAAAGAAAAACAAGAACAAGTAACTATAATAACATAATTAAGTGGCATATTTACAAGAATTGTCTCAGAGTATTATAATCTTACTCTATCTAGAAAAAAAAACAATTATTATATTATTTGAGACCATACAATTCTGAATTATAATTTTATATATTCTATTATTTATATAACAATTATATCAAGAGCTAAAATATTAACAACTAATATTAGTCATGGTATAGTTACATATTTTGTAAATTTAGTATAATAAAATAGATTAAAGTTAATATATGATCCTTTGCACAATTTTTTGAAAATATGCCACTGATAACAAATTATTATTAAAATAACCATTTTTGTTCTTTTTCAAACAATTTTGTAAAATAAACCAAAGTAAAAAAATAACTAAAGTTCAATATTATTAAAAATAAAAACAAAAATAACCACTTTTAAACATTAAAAACAAAGAAACCACAATTTGACAATAAAAAAAAGTAGGGTTTTCAATAAATAATTATGTTTACATGTAAATATTTACTAGTAAATTCATGAATGCATAGAAGAATGAATACGGATTACCAATTAAAAATACTGACGATAATAGGTATTACATTTAATTTTAATTTTTTTTAATACTGTAAGGAGAAATATGGAGTAAGAAAAATTGGCAAAAAAATATACATATTCATTTTAAAATGTAAATAGAAAGGAGTAAAATTTACTTTGATTATTATGTATATATAGATAAATATTTGATGTATAATATGAATGTATCCCTCATCTCATGTTTTACTTTTAAATGTGAAGAGAAAATGGAAATTCTGCTAACACAAAAAATTTCAAACACTATACGACACTACCCATATTATATAATATACATACATATATATATTGTTACACACTTTTAAATCGCTTAGTTATTAATATATAATTAATTTTATTATCCAAAAATTGATTTAACTATGAATTTTAAAATCTTAGAAAAGTAAATTTAATATTTAAAAACATAAATCAAAAAGAAATTAACTTCTTTAAAACAATAAGAAGATTACCACCACATTCCCAATAATATAAATACCAGTTCAATTAGTACTAAAACTGAAGTAACTATTATTAATAATGTAACATAGTAAAGTGATTTTTTTTAAATTTTACTTTCTTACTTTGAATTTTTTTTAATAATTTTCATGTTTGTCATATTTTTAATAATTTTAAGCTAAGTATACATAAGTTATGAATTTGTTTGAGCAAACAGTAGACATGTAACAATATAAATATATATATATATTATACATCATTAAATTTTAAATAACAAATATATATGTATATATAAATATGTCAAAGAAGTAGGAATAATTGTGAGTATGGAAATGTTAATTAGTTTTTGGTGATATTGTTTTATATTTTATTATTATTTTACAGCCAAGGAACATTTTTTTTTAGACGAGATTTGTAACCTGGGCTAACTATCTCGATTTGGATATTTGGCAGCTGTGAAACGTCGAGGCCATGGTAAAGGCCAATCATATTGACGAGGTATTGGACCATTGATATTTCCTTCAAAGTATCTGAACATCCAAAACCACCATGCCCGTGATAAGTAATTATTGGAACTGCTATGCTATAATAAAATAAAAATAACACAGTGTAAGTAAAATATTGAAAAGTTGGTAATAAAGATACATAATAGAAGATACATATTTAACTTTAAATCGTTAATTTAAATTTCACAATTTTACATGAATATTATGTGAACCTAGTTTGTAGTATTAACCTTCATCAAAATTTTACTAACACAAATTGACTGTGTTATAATTTTTGTTGACAAACTCTCAAGTTGTATAATTATTTTGTTATTGAAGAAATTTTTAAAATAGACAATGCAAACATATTTCAATTCACAAAGAACGAATTATTTAAGATATGACTTTAAGATCTCATAAATATTTCTTTTACTAAACCTAAACATTTCATAGTAAGGAAATGTTATCATTGTTAAAGTCACATTAACACAATAACACATACTTAAGTTATTCGTAAATTATATTGGTATACTATTTATATCATGTTATAGTTGTATTAAATATTCTCAAATAAATGCCAAAATAAAAATATTATGTTATCAAATTTGTAAAATAAACCGATCTTCGCCAACTAATTTAATATAATTTAAAATAACATCATAATTTAGTCCAAAAATACCCTTGTTGTTAATGTCAAAAATATGTAAATAAAAATAAATAATAATTACAATGTTTAGAAACACAAATTAATAAATTGATAAATTTAAAAAATTTGAAAACACTATTTATTAAACTACATTTCTAAGCTTTTTTGACTATAAAATAATTATCAACATTATCAAAATGTATAAAATAAAAAAAAACATTTTAAGTGCCCATAAATAGCACAATAAGAGTTAAAACATCATAGAAAATAGTAACATATTATGGTGAACATATTTCATCTAGTGAAAATTTCGAATACTACAGCTACTTGGTATTAAATTATAAATAAATCAATTTTGTCGAAAATTGGTGTTCTGTAATTTTCAATCCCTCCACATTATTAATGGTAATAAAAAAAAAAAATTATTGAAACAATACTAAATACATTCATGATATATCACTTCAACACAACATTGCTAAAATATGAGATGGAACAATCAGTGTGACATATTTTATTAGCAATTTGCACAAAGCTTAATTTTTTTACCATAGTCATGATCTATTAATATGAGAAAAAAATATCATCAGAGAATAGCTTAACAGTCAGACCTCTACCAATAATTACTGTCAAAAGACATACCCATTGGTTGCTGTTGAGATTTTATTTTATATTGAACAAAGTATAGTAAAAGTTATATATTTACAATGACTAGTAAGTTGTATACTTTTTAGGGGTCATTGAAATCCTCCTCTTCTCAAAAATTAAAAAGCCATGAAATACTTAGTAAGTTTAGTATTAATAATTACAAATTTGCATAAACTATCAGATCAATTAAAATTAACATACTTTTAGATACACATTATTAGCTAATGTATGGTATATCCAAAACAGTCGTGTAGTAACCAAGTATGCTATAATCACATCGATAGTATAGTGACCGTGTGCTATGAGTACCATTAATACTCCAACAGCTGCCATCAACCATGAAGCCCAATGCAATAAATACCATCGTCTGGGAGAGTCTATACAAAAGAAAATAGTTATTAACTTTTATACCACTTGTGGATAGCACATGAAGTATATACATTCAACGGTAATTAAGTAGCTCATCACTAAAATTGTTGTATGTCCGCTATATATATAATCGCCACAAAATGTGTGCTTGCCATTGATTGACAAACCAAAACCAGAAAATAACTGGAACACACGTCTAGCAATCAGTACTGGATTTGTCGAGTTGGCTTTGGGCGAACAATAATAAGTGGTACTAGATGTGGGCAACACAGTGACAAACATAGTGACAGAGCGAAGAAGATATAGAAGAGACAACATGAACATCAGTCTACGTAATACAATAAACCTAAAAAAAATTATATAAATTAAAATAATAATTCTTTCATAAATGAATTATACACAATTAAAAGTAAATACTTTAAATATAACATATAAATTAAGTTAATTAACTATAATTTTTTAATGAAAATAAATGTATTAAGTATTTTTAATTTTTAATTGATATTTACATGGTCATCCAAATATTGTGTACTGTAACAAAATTGGCGGAAATAACATAATATCTTAATATGTTTTCTACCAGATTTGTAAGTTTTGTAACACAACATTTGGATATCTCTATAATCAGTATTAAAAACTGAAAAAATAAAAGATTTTCTATTTCACTCTAAGGAATCACAAGTACAAATTATACATAAATCAGAAAAAAAAACAGAAGAATATAATAATATTAATTTAAAAAAAAGGTTAAAAAAATTTAACACGTAAAGCTTTGACCTGTTAATTAATATAATTAATAAGTATCGTATCATAAAAGAAAAAGTAATAAAACTCAATCCATTCTTCGCTGTAACAATGATTTAACCTACTAAAATAGTTTGTAATTACCTATACTTATGACTGGCAATAATTAACAATGTTAAATTTGTGCTGACAATGATAAATATTTCTGATACATCTAATGCCCAGTCTCGAGCAGGTACAGCATCTAAAAATGTATCCGGTAATGGTTTGTACAGACTACGATCAGGCACTCTTTCATGGACAACCGCCAAAGATGTAGTGGTGATTAAAAAATTCACAATCAACAATATTAATGCTAAATTAAAAAAACAATAATAAATACTCATTATATTTATACAATTTAAAATAATATATTCCAATATTTACCAACAAAAGTCTTGAATTTCTCTTGTGGGATCCTAATTTTATCATTTGATGGTAATACGTTAACATTATTTGGTATATCGATGTGCACAGCTGCTCCATTGGCATTGTTGTTGAGATATTTGTGACTAAAATCATTATCATCTTCAATAGGTGTTGTCCCACTATCAGGTTGATGTTTGTTATCTCCCAAGGCTTGGTGTATATGACCCATATTAGGCCGTTGATGCTCACAATTGTCCGTATTTGAATCATTTCTTGGTTCCCAACCAACACCATTACTAATAGCTGTTGTTACTTGTTTACATAAGCCCAACAATGGCTGCCTTTGACGTTCATTCTAAAAAACACAATTAGTTAAGAATTAAATTATTTTGAAATAAGGAAATAAAAATGATACAAAAAAAAAACTGAATTAAAGATAGAGAAGCACTTAGACACCTATATTATTTTAAAATGAATTTTTTTTAAATAATTATTGAAGTATTAACCTTGACCTAGTATAAGTTTAAGCCTAATGTGGCCATTATTATTTAGTGGATTAGTGCAGGACGATGTTCCATACAAGTTGCATCTTATTTTTAGTATTAATTACAAAAATAATATTGATACCTAAAATAGGTACATTGTATAAATATATAATTTCAATGTGATGTCTGTATAATGCAGAATCTATTACACAGTTGATTTTAGCTACTGTTCAAAACTTTAATTTAATATAAAATTTTTAAAATATATAATATATTAATATAGGAAAGTCAACAATATTTAAATGTATAGAATTAAGTATAAATATTACTGAATATAACATAATATAACACTAATTGAATTTCAATAATTATTAGAATGTATAGTCATTGGCAAGTATAAATAAATATTTTAAATAACGATTGACAGAACCTATACTAAAATTATAGAAATATTATTATTATCATACACCTACCAACCTATTAATACAATAATTTAATTACTGAACAAAAAATCATAAATTTGCCTAAACTAAACATTTTAATTCGATGATTGAAAATGAATATTAATTAAGAATTACATAAAATATGTATTACAGATAAAAGCCGGAAAAAAAATAAGGATAAACGAGAATTTTGAAGCAAAATGAGTTTTCAACAAAATAGATTTTGGTTTTTGGTGTAACATTAAAAATTACAGCAAATACAGAAGATTTTTACAGGAGATTATATAATTTTTTTTAGGTTTATTGTATTACGTAGACTGATGTTCATGTTGTCTCTTCTATATCTTCTTCGCTCTGTCACTATGTTTGTCACTGTGTTGCCCACATCTAGTACCACTTATTATTGTTCGCCCAAAGCCAACTCGACAAATCCAGTACTGATTGCTAGACGTGTGTTCCAGTTATTTTCTGGTTTTGGTTTGTCAATCAATGGCAAGCACACATTTTGTGGCGATTATATATATAGCGGACATACAACAATTTTAGTGATGAGCTACTTAATTACCGTTGAATGTATATACTTCATGTGCTATCCACAAGTGGTATAAAAGTTAATAACTATTTTCTTTTGTATACTCTCCCAGACGATGGTATTTATTGCATTGGGCTTCATGGTTGATGGCAGCTGTTGGAGTATTAATGGTACTCATAGCACACGGTCACTATACTATCGATGTGATTATAGCATACTTGGTTACTACACGACTGTTTTGGATATACCATACATTAGCTAATAATGTGTATCTAAAAGTATGTTAATTTTAATTGATCTGATAGTTTATGGAAAATTTGTAATTTTTAATACTAAACTTACTAATACTCAACATACAGTAGGTACCACTAATAAAAAATGTATTACTAAAATCTTGTAGTAATATACATAAGTTATTAAATATCTTTACAAATGAGGCTGACACATCGTCTCCAGCACAAAGCTAATGGTGGGAGGGCTAAAGGTGGAGAACCCGACCCACCTACTTTCGTTAACCCAATTGGAATGACCTATATTTTGAAGAAAAAAATTACTTAACACAAATTGCACGTAAAATATTATTACGTACAAATTATATCAAAATTTAAAATAATACAACCAGAAAATATTGACCCGCCCAACGAATATTTTCTATCAACGTGCCTACATTGTCTTCGCTTAGAATCGTTCTTTTTTGTGCAATGATTTGTCATTGAATTGAAATAGTTTAATACATCCATTATAGTGTACTCCATTTATTATTACAGCATTTTTATTAGTATTTATTATTACTCATTTACTCTATTTATTATTTACATTACATACAGTGCTCTATCATTAGATACTCCTACTTATAACCTACTCAAAATATTTAGAGTATATCTTGTCACTTTAAACTTAGTACTTACCTTACGGCTTACTGTACTCAGAGTGACTTAACCGTTTTATTTATTAAATATTAAAACTTAATTTTAAATTTAGAAAAAACGTGAAACGTCTGTTACATTTAAATTTAAGTTGCATGGGATTGTTTACATAAGTATTATAAATTATTCATAGAAATTAAAAGTTAAAACATTAAAATATGAGTATATTATTTAAGTATAAGGACTTAAATGTGAAAAAGTTCAATGAAGGTCAAAAAAATTTTATTTTTCCTGTTTACAAGATAATACAGTTTCTAAATAGACACTAAGTACAACAATTAAAAAAGTCAAATATTGTGGGACACATGGATAATGTCAAACAAATGAAAATAGGTACTCCACAGAAAGATGCACTATTTATGCGAGCTTGCAATTATTTCAGAAGATTATAAATCAATTTGATTTTCATAAAATCTAACAAGGAATTATTTGAAAAAGAATGATAATGCCGAGTTGCATAAAAAAATTATTATATTAATGATTTACCAACATTTATAGACTTATCATAAGTCGCTGAATCTCCTTAAGATACCATTATTTAATAAATGTTTAGTTATTGGTTATACGAACAGGCATAAGATTTTATAATTATTATCAACAGAAAACAAATGTTTAAAAAAAAAAAAACGAATATTAATTAATAATTAGGGTCGTAATTCATGATTTTGTATAGGTGGTATGGTTAGAATTAGTGGCTTGGTGAGGCGCGGTCGTACGCTCCATCTGCGGAAACGCTCTGAGTCTACGTACCGGCCGGCGCGCGTTGCTAACTCCCGGATGGGATACCACCCGGGTTTTTGGCAAAGCAACATATTCTTGCCATACATACATGAATACGTATTACAACCCAGCCAATACAAAAACCAACTAAAAAAACAATACCGTACTACCCCACGCCCAATGGCCTACAAAAAAATTTCAGAATTAACCTAGTGATGAATATGTAGATATTTACACATTTAAAATAAAAACAGGATAAAATTATAAAATTGTCAACATGATTTAATGACAAACAAACACTAAAAACTATTTGAAAATTAAGAAATAACACTACCTGTACTTGTATTGTGCATAAATATAATAAGTTATTGAGTACCTAGGTATTACTATACTAGTGTCTAATAGTTTTTCTAAATGGGGTTTGAAATCCATCAATATTTCAAGCTTACAAGGTTTATTATTTTTCGAATCATAAGAAAATAGTTATTATTAAATTCCTATTTTAACTAAAGATTTTTTTGAAAACTGTTGTGTTGTAATTTTTTCCACCTTTTGACTTTTTCCTGACAAATATGTAAATATTTCGAAAGTTAATTTTCTAATATTATATACTCCGCATTCGTTTTTGAAACATAAAGATTTTATGAACTGTAATATGAAACTTTTAGAAAATTCTTATAAAAACACTTCCAAAAAAACAAAAAATGATTATTGCTACTTCATAAAATATATACATTAGTACATTACACATATATAGTAAATTTGATATGCATATTATAATCAATTATATTTATATAATTATACATAGTATTATTATTAACAGTTTACGAAAGATAAACTCTTCAGTCCTACTTTAAGTAATTATAATACTACTAGTAAGTCACCTTGGTGTAATTGTACAAGTAACGTTGCATTTATATATATTTTCGGGACCGCCATTGAAATATTATATTAAAGAGTAGGTACAAAACACATATTAGAGCCAGAACAATTTCTATTTCTTACTCCACGACAAAATAATATTGGTAAATGGTTTTCAAGACGTACGTAAGCAGAAGAATTGGACACAACTCGTTATAAAAACATTAGCATAAAATAATACTATAATAGCAATAAGATATACGTATTATACAATATAAATATACATTAAGAGGAAGAATTTACAATAATAGCACAGATTTATCATAATATGTCTTTTAGCTCGGTACAAAATAAAAACAATATGTATCTACATGGGTACGTCAAAATTAGGTTAGCATTTGTTATCTATTAATTTTATATTTATTTATGTACTGAACAGCGTTATGAAGCAAACAAACTGAAATTAACTAAACAAAAACGTAGTTTGTTATTCGTCAAATAGGAACAACATACGGAATTTTATCAGTTTATATGATATACATATTTGAGTGGAATCAGTAAAATAAGTTGCCGATATGGTGTGTGTGTAATAGTTAGCTACCTAGTGCCTACCTTTTTTATAAAAATTATTTTTTAATAAATAAATAGAGAATTTACATTAAAAACAAAAAATAAACGTGGTGATTACAATGAGAAACAGACAAAAGCTAGATGACTTGGTGATGGAAGATGGTTTGGAGCGTCTAGCAACAATTAATTCATAGTGTAGGTTCGTTTTAACTTTATTCTATTATACTACATATTAACCATACACTCTAATAAGATAAGAACAGAAATATTATAAATTTATGAAAATCATATTACTGCGGGTATCTAATACACGTTTAGAAATACACAATAACTATTATCGATACATTATGTCAACACCAAATACGTACATATTTTAGTTGTCGTTACCTGCTGTCTACATAATATACCTATCAAACACATGTTAAAAGAAAAAAATATGAAATGTACAGTAGAATTGCACATCAATATAAATAATCAAATATTCTTATAATACACCATTATTTTTGGTTTTTTTTTAAATTTATAAACGTACGTGTTAGTACACAAAGAAATAACATTTATAGGTACAGACTATAGGTATTATAAAAGTATAAATTCATACAAAATAATTTAAACATTTTTTCACAAGGTTCTTTCTTGCAAATCTAAAAACCAGAGAACTCGCTGTGCTGTATAGTAGGTTCGGGTGTGCCTCGTCATTGAATAGGTCACTGTATTCGATACTTAGATGTGTTAAATAAGAACACAATGATAAATCAATACATATAATAGGAAATATTGCATGAATAATACGATCATGAACTAAGGAGACAAGCAAAATCATTATTTCTAAGGTCAGAGGATAGAAAAAATTGAAGGCTTTATACATTTTTAGCTATATAAAAACATTTGTAGATTTTCATGATTTTGAATAATTTGTAAAATAAACGATTGGCGAAAACTTCAAATGTCTATATTATTCGTTTTTGAATAATTACAACAAACTATTGAAAACACGTGATTAATTTTGAGTAAAAATTCTTGTTTTTTCTTAATTATTAAGAAAAGAACAGGAATTTTTTTACTTCAACTTCCTCACCAAAAATACCAATCAGATCTACTTAGCAGAAAATATATTAAAGTCGAAGGTTGAAGTATTTTTTTCAACTATAAAAAGTGTCTAGATACAAAAAGAAACACACACATCATTGTAAAATCAATACATTCATCGAAGCTTATAGAATCTAAAAAATAATATTTGACTCTTCGTCATCAAAGGGTTTTTATTTCAGTAAAAGGTAAGAAGGTTGAATCACCTTAGATACAAAATTAATTGTATGAATATTTAAACCTGAATCGGTTTGAATAAAACTGAATTGAAACATTAAAATGTAAAATTTTAAAGTAAAAATATATTATTTGAAGATACAAAATGTAGTTTTTGTCTTAAATATATCATCATGACTTGTGTTTATTACCTAGTTGTTATTAGACGTATTTCAAATAGGATAATATTATAACTTAGAGTATTTTTAAAAAATTCAACAGTAACTCAAAATGTTTATTTTTCTTATTAAATTTGTTGCCATGATTAATTGACAAGAAGGTAATAAAATAATGAATGATTTTATAAAATAAACATTATTGAACGAACATTTTAGCTTATATTCTTGATTATTGCTCATTGCTTTTAGAAGACATTAGTAGTATAACTAATATAGTAATAAGTAAGAACTAATATTCCACAAAAAACTTCGTGTAATTACAGCAATATTTCATAATATATTATGGACATATGGCAGTTAATATTTATCATATATTGTTTAGTAGTGTTTACCGTTTTAATAATATCTACTTAAGTACATTGCATTTCATTAGACAATATAAATGGTTATAATTTATATAAGACTCATAAATGACGTATAGAAACTACGGAATTTTACCTTCTCTTTTTTTAATGTTATAGTTATCATTTAAAGCCCTAATAACGAATTAAGTATCTATATAATTTGTTATTTAATGTAGTAAATAGTTATAATATAATCAATAATATGTGTCAAACACTTACTATACCTATTAAAATGTTTAAAATATAACAACATTTATTTAATTATTTGTTTTAAAATAAAATTATGATAACCCAATAACTTACTAGATGACCATTAGCTGGAGGCATGTCAACTTCAATATGAACGAATTCTTTTTTATGGCCTTCGTTAGATGTATAGGAAACCCCTTTGATTCCAATTCTATTTTGGATTCCATCAGTGCTAGGCTCTCCTTTCGGTTCTAGTACCATCCTAAAACAAAAATTTACAATAAAAATAAATAAATCACTGAATTTTAAATAAATATCGAAGAATAATAACGTCATTCAATTGATGTTCCTATATACCTCGTTTATGGTTCATTGCTTAGCGAGGACTACATCAACACGAATGTTATTACTTATGTATTTAACTATTTATATTATTAAAACGATAATTCTCGAATAGTAAAATAACTCTGAGCAATTAGTTGCCTAATAACAATGTTTTTTTTTCGATCTTATCATTAATAACAATGCAAAACTGCCAACTACTAACAAAAATGATAATAATTTTACTTTTTAGAAATATATGACACTCGTAAGTCAAAGTAATATTAGTTAATTGAGTATTGATTTTTTTAAATATACAATAGTATATACGCATGATTTTGATTTGCATAGAGTAAATAACATGTGTAGACTCTTAACCTATTTGATTCAATAATTGTTACTATATGACATATGTATATAGTATATTATCATATATAGGTACCATTATTTTCGTCGTTCCAAAACACGATATTATTAACACGAAACATTATTAAAAATTAATAAATACCTATAGCTAGTTGTAACAATACAAGTTAAATTCAATAATAAAGGTTTTTTTTTTTAAAAATAATTTCTATAATTTCTTCATTATAATTATACGTATATCTAATTAGAGGGGACTATAAATGAGGACATCAATGACGTCAATGTGTTAAGCTGAATAAAATACGGTCGAAAACTCAATCGATCGTTTAAACTGTGTAGTAAGGTGTATTAGTCAAAAGTAAATTAAAAGTATATAATAATTCAAACACAATTAATTAATGTTTGGTAATGGATATCAAGATAAGATGAATGGATTGAAAAGTGTAACAATAATTACTGTTGAACACGAACACCAAAAACAAATCTTTCATCTACTACACTAAACATAAATACCTACGCCCCATAAAATATTATTTAATAGGTCAGACAGTCGATAATACATCGTTACTGTAACAACCCTTAACGACATTTAGAAACCTTTATATATAACACAACCTACCTATATAGTAAAACACGAATGACAAACTAATCAATAATATGTCAATAATATTTGTCTTAATAATATGTTATATATATTAAAACGATGATTAATAATAGAAGGCAAATACTCTGCACGTTATATAAAATAAAAATTACATTCAATGATAATGATCAATAATATTGTTGGTATGTAATTTAATAAAATTAGAAATTTCATTCATTCAAATCTGTAATATTTATTTTAAACATACATTATATTTATATACCGAATCACATTTTTGCTTATAAATGAATAAGTATTTAAAATTCGAATAATTTAAAGAACTTACATAAAGTAAAAATCATATTTAAAATCATTGATTTTAAAAATGATTATACTAAAACAATAGTTAAATTCTCAAATTAAGAGCAAAATAATCAACCACAAAAAGCAGCTGATATACCAGAGAACATAAGATGAATTATAATAATATGACATAGAATAATAATTTTATTGATATCGTGAATCATGCCTATTAATTACAGTACCTACTAAAATTGAATTTTAAAATGTAATGTTTGAAAGAAACTTGTTATTAATACTAAATACGTTTATAATATCAATGTTTATATTATATCTCATAAACGTTATAAAAATAAACAATAATAAAAATACTTATAAAAATTGATAATATACTATTAATTAAAATACACCATATACCTACGCGCACTTGAAGATTCTTAAATCGGGAGTTAATATGCATTTAATTTATTAATAGTAAGCAAAAATTAGCCTTAATAAGTGGCCTATGATTGATTCATTGCATTATAGTGAATCATTGAATTAAGCAGTTTTTATGCAACTCGGCGTAAGCGCTAATTTTTTCCATCACAACTTTCATTGCTAAGGTTATCATTTAACAACCAATATGATTATTGATATTTTTGTTTTATAGGCATACTAAGAGGCATAATTTCCACTAATATATTATTCTATTGACATACAATTACTTCAATCATATATATTATATAGTATATACACGACAAAAACCCAATCAATTAAATGTAGTGAAAAGCGTATACCATTTTAATAATATAAAATTCAATTTCTTCAATATGATTAGGTAATATAACATTATATAATATTAAAGTCCATATAATCATAATTCATTTTAAACTTATAATTTCCGTTTAAAAACTAGAAAGTTATTTATTTTTCTATAGTATTTTTCTTTTAGGAGCTTGTTTAAAATAAGCTGTATAAACTGATAAGAAATTAGTTTTAACAATACAGATTCACTTGAGAGACGCAAACATTATTATTTTAATTTATATAAAACAACATTAGTTCTTAGAAATTAAGAACAATTAAACATTTGTTGAGGTATGGATATTTGTATTGCTCTCGAAATTCCCTCGCCTCCTCTATACCTGCATTTAATAATGGACGTTGATACAACATTATCAGTCAGGTATAAATAGCGGTAGGAAATAATAAAATAAAAAAAGTATGTATGTATGTCAAAGGAAATAATATAATTCGTCATGGAAAATTTAAGCGAAACATTTAGTTTCTTTTTTTATACAATCCTGTAAATCATTGCTCAATCATAAAATTTAGTTTAATATTGAGTGAATAGAAAACTATTTTATGTAAGACATAAATAAATAGAGTAAGTAAATAGTTCGCCAATGTTTTATTTACTATTATTAAAATCAAACTAAACTTAAACTCATTATAACTAAAATCTTCATATTTATATTAAATTAACAAATCTAAAAATTATATTAGTTTAATTAATTTGAAAATGTTTTCCAGAAATGACAAATACTTATAAGATCTAAATTGTATAGATAAACATTTTTAATGCGAGTATAAGTATAAACTAGTATGCACATATTTGTTAATCCCTATAAAATATATTACTATATAGTATCTATTATAGGTATATTATTAAATCGGTGCTTATATTATTGTAATATTGAAACCTATGCCACAAGGACTATTTTATGGTAACAATTAAATTAGTAAGTGTTATAATTAAATGTTAATAATTATTTAGTAATTATTAAGATTTATTTCCCTAGTCAAATCAAACTTATTATAAATATTAAATAGGTATAAAGGAAATACAGTAAAATAATAATCTAATAGGTATTGCTGATATAATATATTGATGGACATGACTGCTTAGCTTATTTGTTATTGTTCTCTTAAATAATTAAACGCAATTAAATTGATACCACAATTAATTTATTATAATCATGGCTAAAATATAACTAGGTATGATCACTATGATCGCAACTTAGTGATACGCACGTGTCATGGCCGCCACTGGCAGTGCTATTATCACTTCGATTTATTAGTTAACAAAACAACACAAAATTATTAATTCTACGGCTAATTAAATCTAAAAATCCCTGCCATCCGAGATTCCTTTCCATGTTAAATCATGCAATATAGATATATAATATATTTCATATTAGTGCGTATGCGATCATACCTAGTTATTTAGCCATGATTATAATAAAATAATGTTATCAATGATAAGTGATAACTTATCATTAATGGAATGTATATTAGTTTAAATTTATACTAAAGGGAAGATGTATCTATTGGTTATAGAGCTTTTTTTATCATATAAAAACTTTCTAGGTCAGCAAGAAATCTATAAAAGTACCACGTAGCACTTTAAATAGGAAAATGTATTTAAACGATAATTTTAGAGATGACATTTATTTAAATTATAACAGCATTAATTCCTCAATAGCGTAAAGAAAATTTACAGTCAACCTGTGAAAAATATTGTAGAAATCTATTTTGAAGACACTGCAGAGTATATATCTTATAATATAAGAACTGCAATACTTAATAAAAATCCTATTCAAAATTATAAATAAAATAACGAATATGCGTATTAAAAATATAAACAAGTTGTTTGTGATAAATAATAATCAATGGATTAAGCATTTCATAATTAAATATTACACAAGAAATAAGATTAAATATTTTAGTATATTATTTTTTCAAATTAATTTTCATATAGCTTCAACATTAAACATTTTGGCAACATTTATAAAACATTTTTTTATCGTATAAATCGAGAATATTGTAATATAATATACTTTTTCTCAATGAAAATTATAGTATTCAGATCATAAGAAATCTGCAATACTATTCAATATTCCCACAGCATATTCGTATTGTATAATTAAATATTTATAAGCAATGGTGAGTAAAAAAATTCAAAATACGGGTGTAAGCCAACATTTCTTCGAAAAAATTTGTGGTTTTCGGTGGGTTTTTTACTCCTCACCAAAAAAAGGAAAATAATATTATTTTAAAAACAATGCATTATTTACTTTATTCAAAATGTAAAACCATAACGTATCCTTGATATATAGATTGGATAATATAATTTGAAGACTCAATTCACAACACCACTAACTATACTCAATAAATCAACAAATAATATTATTTATTATTTGGTCGTTATACGTTTTTACATATGTGTATTTCAATAAAATTACACAATTGACTATTTTGTGAATAATTAATTCATTGTAATATCAGTGTAACTTTATTGCAATACAAAAATTAAATAGCAATAGGTATTTGTATGTTAATTTTGTTTTGAGAGCTCTGTAATAAAGAAACATACACCTATCAGTATATCACGTACCTATTAGTACATCGAGGACGTCATGTTATTTTTGCACCGTAACTGCTGGGGTTACGTTCTTACAAAAAGAAATATCTAATATTTTATTGTGTTTTTGACATCCGGTTTAATTATGTGTAAGAATAATGTTGTTATTCATTATCTTGAGTCATTCTCGAGTTTCAAAAGCTTAGAAGTTAGATTCAGTACTAAAACAACAAACATAATAAACGGAAAGTCGGTAATATTATTAATAGTATTTAACATTTGTACCATAATCATATCCAAAAAAAAATCAAATATTGTGGGTAAAATATAACATTTATTAGATATAAATTTATAAAAAATAAAATATTCGTCTAGTTTTTATCTATATCTTATACATACTTACATTGTAGATGAATACAACTTTAACAGTAAAAGCACAACTCAAAGGTAAGGTAAATAAAAAATTAACAGAGATATTTATTAATACATTCATGCTTAATTAAATTTAATATGCATAATTCGTTTGGATATTTTATTCAACTAAAATATTTATGTAGCGTTATCCTTTTCCTTTTTTATTGACATACTAGTTGCATATGAAACGTAAAAACACAGTTCATTATACTCACTCCATTAACATAAAAATTTTTAGATCGTAAAAAGTGATTACCAAAGCCATTAAAAAAATTCATAAGAAAGCAGAGTTAAATATAAGAAAGACCATTGGGGTTTTGGTACCACAAAAACAAGTGTATTATCATGTAAACTTGGAATTGATTGCTATCAAATTGGCTGGTTTCGAATTAAAAGAGATGATAAAGGTTGTGCTTTCTGTAACTTTTAGAGTTTATGAAAGAAATGTGATTTAAAACAAAAATAGTATTAAGAACATAGTTTTAGAGTTTATATTATGCAAACAGTATAAGTAAATTTAAATTTAAAGCAAAATAATTAGGCGATCAAACACATATATTATTAATAGATGTATAAACTAATAGTTGCTGATAAGAACTGTTGATTTCCAATGAAATTATGTGCAAATACTAAAACATTTATGACCATTCACCATTCACCACTTTTAAAAACCCTTCCAAAAATGTAATAATTTACGACACATCGACAGATCTTATATTAACCCACTAATTTTGTTTTTTTTAAAAAATTCATTTAAAAAATGAAGAGAAGAGAGTATAATATATTATTATTATGGGGTTTCGAGTTTATCTCGTCATTTATATTTATATGATACCGACATACGTATCATAAAACAGAGTGAAAAGGTCGTGATACAAATGGCTTAAAATTATCCTAAATATTTTGAAAATTGCATAAAAAATATTAATTATGTAATACTGGAACGTTTCAAATGTCTACGATTAATTTTCAAAACAATATTTTGTTTAAATATCTAAATTTGCCAATTTGCACTTCAAACGCTTAAAAAAAGTGACTAGGTACTTCAGATATTTTTAATTTCTTAAAACAACATATGAAGGAATTTTTATTCGATTTTCAAGGTTTTTCACTTGAGTAAAAATTGTTTCAACATAAATCAAAAAAAATTTGATTACATAAAACGTCTATGAATAGTTGAAAAAGAGCCCAAATATTTTGAAAATTATATCATTTTGATATAGGTAAAATGCTAATATAAATATTGTGTTACAATTCTGAGTATCAATAGGGTTATTCATTTTTAACTTAAGCAAAACAACAAAATCGACTTTGTTAAAAACTAGTGTTAGGCAAATACTCAAGTTGTTCTGTAATTTTTTTTCGTTATCCCGATTATTTAGAAAAGTAAGGGTAATTATTTACTTTAAACCCCACAATACTAGCTAGATCATATTTGTTATCAGAAACTGCCCTTTAAGTTGTTGTTTGAAGCATTACTACTGCCCAAAAAGGTGGTGAGGTATAAAAAAAAAATTGTATTGTTAAACCAATACACTTAAGTGTGCAATGTTCAGAATCAAAAATCAAAAACTGTACATCTTGATACTTTAAAGAACGTGTAGAACATTTGTCTACATTCCAATCTTCACAGCCAATATTTTAGATACAAAAACACAAATTATTGAATTGTTGATAATTGTGTATGAATGTATGGTAGATAATTTTAAAAGGCAAGAGCAATCGAGTATTATTATTATTTATGATAAACAAATAAATTAGTTTGATGCAAACCTATTAAATAATATACCTTTTACAATACTTTAAGAGTGAAAATAATTGTATGCTTGGTAGTTCACAATCTGTACACGTGCTATATCATAGGATTCATAATGTATTCGGGACAAATACTATAATTTTAGACCCAGTGAACAATGTGGCAGAGTCAAAATGATAAAAATCCTAACTTTACCTTCTTGTATATTTAAAATAAGTGCTTAAAAAAAATGAATGATAAAAATTACTATGAATATAGGATGTGATGATATAAAATTATCTTCAAACCATTGTGTACTTTTAAAAGTTTTAAGTTATAACAATTTTTTTTCATAATGTATGAAATATGAATATTATTCATATTTCTTATGTTATAAATCATAGATTTACTATTAAATGTACAAATATATTGACGGCGAATAATAGGTACATGCATGGTATATGATATTGGTATGAAAGTATTTAGTAGCAACTAGCAAGGATTGACAAAATTATACATATATTATTATTACGAGTTTTTCTAAACACATAACTGATCGATAATTTTGTCGGTTACTCATTCTTATTTGTAACATTCAATTAGTTTTTGCCTAACAAACGTCGTAGAGTGCTGACAATTATCTAGTCACGAAAAAATCTTGTGTTAACACTTAACACTCGTGGTTAACCGTGGGAAGTGCTGTAAAATTTTTCTCATAAAAATTGTACAACATTTTTAAGTAAAATAAAATATGGGAATTCTATACGTATAGCACTTTAATGAAAATAATTGAAAAAATAATAATATCAATAACATTTAAGTATACCTAATGTATATCTGAACTAAAAATATCTCACTACTAATGTTAGTAAAATTCTTTAAGCTCGACGAAACAAAAAACTGAGTAACAATCTGAAATAAAAAAAAACTGCTATGACACACAATTGATGATCATGCCCTCACGTTTTGATTAAAAAACATTAAATATTAAATTGGGTATGTATTAACTCATATTTTCCGTACTTTTAATGATAAAGTTTAAAATATTAAAACCAACCCCTAATATTAAAATATCTCACTCTCACACTTTGAGTATTATAGGTGTTATATAATTTGCATTTGGTAAGCAATTAGACATTTAGTTCAACTAAACAATTTCAAAAATCAGTTATGTCACTAATAGGACATAATGTATTCAGAACAAAAAACGCAATATTAAAGAAAATGCATGTTCTATTATCTAATTCAAATGTTCAAACATTCATTTATGTAAATACCTAATTAATTAGATATAAACTAATTTTTTTTTTTTAAATAAATATAATATAATAATATTTTTATGATTAAAAACTAATACTTACTTTAAAAAATAACTGTACAAAATATAAATAAGTTCCATATTAATAAATTATTATAATAAACTAATCACTCTGTAGTCTGTACACAAACACTTATAATAATATATTTTTAAGTCCCCCTCCAAGTTACAAGATAATAACAAATATGATAAAAATAGAAATAGCTACAATTATTTAATACACACAATTTTGCATGAGAAATGTAAAATAAAAAACACTAACTTGAAAGTTCCACAGACCACAGTACCAAATTATTGTTTATTATTTAATGTTATCTACAACAATTATTTTAAATGCGTATTATTGTTATTAACCAGGAGGCGTGATAAAAGCTTTCAATAAAATAATGTAATGTACAACATATTTATAAAATCAATTTATTATAAAATTGTATTATAAAATAGGTACAAATAAATATTTAAGCATAAGCGTAAAGTTAAAACATCATTAAAAATATTATATAAATGACTAATGAGTATTGAGTAAAGACCGTTTTATTGACGAATCATGTCCCGAAGACAACTAGAAAACACATAAGTAAAATTTAAAATAATGTCGTTATTTATATTTTGAAACTGCAAATACGTAGGTATTGAGTATATGTACGAGGTCGGTAATTACAATATCATGCGAAACAATCACCCACTACGCGTTTAGTTCCAGAACATCTGTGAAATGTAAATAGGTAGGTATCCAATAATGCCAAGACCGAAAAATATTCCAAATGTATTATGATGCTAATAATTATTATCAACATATTTTAAACCTTGTAGTATGACTATAAATAGCAGTTGCAAATAAGGTCATTACGAGGTTATATAAGTATAATTTAACTATCACTTTTACTAGTAAATATTATAATCGGAGTCGATTTTCAGACACGAAATTTAGGCAGCCTATAGGTAAGTCATCGTCTCGACCCACCCAAATGTTGACCCTTGCCAGTCCCACACTAAACAGGTGCATATGCCTAGTATGGATGCATGCATTATTTAAACACGTATATAACTATTATATATACATTGTAGTAACTATATACGAGGCGAAAACAAACGTAATTTTACAAAGCGTTAGGGAAAAAAATCGTTAAGAACGGAACGAAGCGTACAAACAAACAGATATGTGATTCTCATCGAAGAAAGTTCGAATGCGCCGCCGGTGGGATAGTGCTCACCATGTGAATGCAGAGGATACCATTAACAGGAAACCGTGGATCGATTGGCCTCGAGCATAATATTACATGTTATTATTGCACGATAACGAGATGGGATCACCAGAACACCACCGACACAAGCACCACCTGCAGTGGCGATCACAGTCCGTACATATATTATATTAATATATAAATATTTATCAATATATTATATGTGTATGCGCGTGTGTGTGTGTGTGTGTGTGTGTGTGTATGCGACGGAAACAGTATCACTCGCGCACAATTCTATAACAGTTGTAGAATGAGTTTACTGATCGTGAAAACTGTTTTTTTAATGTATACAGTACAAAATATTATTTTTTACGAAAACCGTGAAAAATAATTTGTGCGTCACGACGACGACAGGCCAATAGATCGGAACAGCGGTCACGTGAGACACCAAAACGCGTACGCGCGCCACGGATTTAGACGGTACACTGCCCGCCGCCCGGCAGTCGCGAATCGCGATTATTGCCGACGCAGAGGCGCGCGCGAGTAGTGTCGTTGGGAGACGCGCGCGCACCGCCGACGATGGTCGGTCGGTAGGCGAGAGGTGGTAGTCCCGCCGCCGCCTCCGATGTTTACAGTGCTGACGATGGTATAGCGTCGGCGGCGCCGACTTGACAAGAACCGAAGGACACACCACTTAATGTCCGTAACGTGAAAATTGTAAAAAAAAAAAAAATAGATATAGGTGTATACTAAGCAAAGCCTAAAATTATGGCACCAAATCACAATTCACAACACGAATAAGTTTATGGAGTACGAGATTTAATTAGGGCACTGCGCTACTGCAGCACGACACGGAGTGAAACGGCATATTTTAGAGCATGGTAGCTAATCAGTGTTCAGCCCCGTTAAATGTTTCAAACTGATAAACTATTCTCGATCAAATATTTTACTTCAAATTTATTTTTCAATTTATTTTGTATATTAGCTTCAAAACGATTGCAATCAATTTGTTTTGTTTTTAGAATTAATATTATTGGTTTTACAAAATTAATGTTCAACATATACTTATTGGCACAAAATGTAGAAAGAACCCCATGTTAATTCGACATAGCTAACTGTAAGATACTAAGATCTGCAATTAGAATAGTCTTTTTACTGCGATAATAATTGATTTCAGGTGTAGGAATATAGAATTAGTGCTAGAGGAAAATTATTGTAAGCATTAAAATGTATTTGTGAAAAAATGAACACATAGTGTATACCTATATAATAGTATAATACTTTATAGGTAATAGATTCTACTTTCTACTGGTATAATTGTACGATATTATTTCCATAACTAAAGAAAACGACACGTTAAGGTTCGTCTGTGTATACCAAAACAACCTCATAAGATCAGAAATTATGTATGATGTGATATTACAAAAATTAAAGGAAAAAAAATAAAGATTATCTAGAAGAATTTTTTAAAATATATTAATTAAAATTTAACACTCAATCTTTTTATTTATGTTAGTGATTTTAAACTGCAACAATTGCATTTTCAAACTGTGTTCAAACTTTAATGAATAAACAATCATTAATAACACACAACCTAGTGGATTATACAGTTATACGGCTATAATCAGACACCCAGCATAAGCATGAAAACTTTACATTTTTATTTCTTAAATTTAAATTATATAAGTCGAAAGCTATATTTGTTTAAATTAAACCACTAACCAAAAGAATCGCGTGCAAAAACACTTATATTCAACAGACTAATGAAATAGTTCATGAGCGTGTTTTAGAATCTTATTTAATTATTACCATTTATTGCCTGTGAAAATAACTGAAATACTATAGTATTTCCATAAAAAAAAATATTAGTCAGAAACTTGCTATATTGATTGAATACTTGGGTGAATCTATTTATATCTGATGTAAAGCTATTTATACTACAAAATAAAGGATCATTTTGTTTTTTTTAAATAAGATTCAACATTTTATAATTTATATATTTTTTTGCAAAATCATGTCTCAAAGTTAAATATTGAGATACATATTAATATATTATAAACAAATCGTACAAAATAACATAATATAATATATAAGCAAACTTTTTAAACTTTTTTGTTGCCTGGATTCTATTGAGTGTTGAAAAAATAATAACATAATAACGATTTAATTTAAATTATTAATATATAGAATAATTGTATAAATTATAATCACGACAAAGCTTTCCTGTATACATATGCAATTTCCTAGATGAGTCATTCATTATTTATTGTAAATATAAATATTATGTTCAAACCGGTTCTATAAAGAATCTTTAAAATACGCCGGCGACACTAACGAAATGTTAGTGCTATTAAAATTACAATTAGTGAAGAACTGACATACCTCTACGGCTTTACATATTATGTTCTATATTGATTTAAGTATATTATCATTTATATTTTTTATACCTATATAATATTGTACCTAAAGGTAATAATGCGTAATTTACACTTTGTTTTAAACAACAATACAATAAAACGATAAAATAATTAAAACATAACAGAATTCGAACTTTTAAAAATGTATTTATTGCATATAAGAGTGTAATAAATACTTCATATGTAGTATATACTAAAAACTTATTATGTAGGTAGATATTATATTTATATCTATTATCTAAGAACTGTAATAAATTAATATATCTAGATTCTAAATACTTTTTCAGTATCTTGTATTTTTATCCATCCCTGCTAAAATAACTACAAAACATTTAAGTTAAAATACAGTTCTTGGGCAATAACTTTATGCCTAAATCATACAACTACGGCAATATAACTAATATCATATAAAATATTTAAAATGTAATTATATTATAATAATTAATATTATAGTGAATTGCTAAAAAATATTTAGATGACGTAAGCATTTTTATTAAAACAATTTTTATTACTTTCATAAATCATAATATTATAATCAATTTATACAAGCGGAGACTCTGAAAGACACGTATGCATACGTGTACGTCCTCATATGAAAGATAGTGAATTCTGAACTTAAAACTTCTATTAAAAAAAACTGTGATAGAGCTACTACTAGCTAGTTACGTATATAGGGGAGGAAGGTACTTGGATAGGGGTTCAACCCCACTTGAAAATAAAAGTGTGTGTGTGTGTGTGTGTGTGTGTGTGTGTGTGTGTGTGTGAGTATAGAATTATTACTATATTTAAGTATTAATTATAAGGTCAGCGGATTTCTATAACCACCCCCTCAAATCCCACGAAATTAAATCCTATACATCTCACTGAATAGAGCAATAACACATTTTTTTTATTTCAAATTTAAATGATTATTCAACTATTGTGAAATATATTTTATTCGCACTATATAAGTTCAAAAACATAAACATAATATATATATATTGCCAAGTCTATTGATAATACAACAAAATTATTCATTCGATTTTGCGTTAATTTTACATATATGTACATTTTAGACAATAGTGAAATCAGATTTTAATACAGTATTTAGTGTTTTTAAGTATTTAAAATACATTTAAAGTAATTCTCGTTAACATTACATTAGCATAATACAGTGTGTCTATGGTCACGTCGTGCCGTAGTGAAACAGTCGCGATGCGCGCTAGTTTCTTAATTTTAAAAATACCACAACCACAAATTATTTCAAAAATCTATAAACTAAAATTATAGAATAGAAAGTTTAGTTTATCAATTTCACAACAATATTTATTTTGTTAAGAGTGGATTTAGAGGCTTTTGTTTTATTCGACATTTTTCGGATACTAAAAACTTAACAAATTGCACCTATATTCAATATTCATACCAGGTACCTTGGATAAAATAACATTTTTAGTTCCCAAATAGTTTTCAGAAAAATTGCAATAAACTGTAAATAATTTTCAATTTTTGAATAAATTAAACTACATTAGAAACTTTATACAAATGCTATAGAATTATCAATGACTTCTAATTCATATGTAACAGACATTCGTAGCCCGTAGGTAATCAAGCTTCTTGGTATTTTGCATCAATACATTTTTTGATCAACTAGATTACGAAATAAAATAAAATTTACTGGTATTGCAGTATTGTTATTTAATATTTATTGCTATATTTTTCATTTCGAATTTTTTTTTTGTAAGTAAGAAAAGCCGTGGCTAGGTTTATAAGTTAAGTGGTTGACGATTGGTTTTCACAAAAGAATGTCACTGACGTTTAGCTGGGTGGTAATTTCTCACACTTAACATCAATTGTATTATTATTGACTATTGACTAATACATTAAGATGATACATTAGATATTTGTTTAAATTAATTTGTACACCGTATTATTATTTGATGATTAAACAAATAATTAAATTACAAAGATAACAATCGACTTAAATAGCCTATATAGATGACAGCCATTAAAAACCAAAAGATATAATCATATTATATAGCTTTTAGGTTTTTGTAGATAATACTAAAAAATAATTATAAACAGTGACTATTATTTCAATACAATTAAATTAAAACAATTTAGTTTAATCGTATTGGCTTCTCATACAAATGCATATAGGTACCTATCAATTCCTTATAAACTTCTTTATTAAAAATGTTAATCGCTTCTCAACGATCAAAAGTAATTAGTTCACAAAACGTGTTTTTTTTATATAACTAAGTATCGATAAATATAAAATTATTCTGTGAGACTAAAATAACCTGTGAAATATTAAAAACAAATTTATTTCTTGAGGTTTAAAATTAATAATTTATTTTGGCAATACCCTTGACCTAATCAACCCTTGACAAGTATGTGTCATTATATATCGATATTCGTCACGAACATGTCTAATTATAGTAGGTATCTACTGAGAATTGTTCAACTAACTTTTTAGAACTTCAAAAATATGATGCAAAACAGTTAAACTGCTTACTTTTTGTTTTTATTTTATACTTACATTAGAAACTATAAAACAATCATATGTATTTACATTTAAGTAGCAGTTTAACTTTTACATTCAATTTGGGTGATTATGTACCCACAGTTCAAATTTGAAAATTAATTTTATAGATTTATAGAGAAAATGGAAAAATATCAATACTAATTTAGTCCTTGATTTCTAAATTAAGACATATCTAAAATTATTTATATAGTAATATCACAGAATATCTACATTAATATAATAATTTGTAGTGTACAAGTGTACGTACTTATCTATCTATCTATCTATCTATCTATTCTATCTACATTATGCATTTATTTTAGAACAAAAAAATAGTTAACCCTACACCTCAGGGATTTACATAACATACTACATTATTATTATAAGGTTAATATTGATTACATCCGTATTTTGTAGAATTATATTATTTTTCGAAATTGAGTATACATTAATGAGTCATCGACGTACAAGACAAGCTCACTTTTAAAAATATTTTTTTACTCCTACATTCAAAAACTAATATTGCTCTAAAACACTCCCGTATACGTAGTTTCTCAGATAACATTATATTAGTATACTTG